CGCCTTGAGCAGGGCAGCCCTGAGAGGCGCGTGTTATCATCCCACACAAGGAGGCTGGGGCTCAGCTAGTGAGAGGCAGAGGTGGGATCCAATCTCTCCATTATGGGGGTATACGAAATATTAAAAAGTCTGAAAACACCGTATAGACATATTTTTTATGGTGGTAAAACATACATAACATTTACCATTTTAACCATTTTTAAGTGTAGGGTTCAGTGGCATTAAGTGCATTCTATAGAAACATTTTATAAACAATCATTTTCATTGTTGCTTCCAAACTGCCATGCCTCTGGGGCTTGTTTCCCCATATTAAGACTGCATCCAGTCCTTTGAGGTTGAGGGAGGAGGTAGACAGAAACAAAGGAACGGATTCGACAACTCACATGTATGTGGTCCAAAGTAAGCAAAGCGTTGCATAACCAACCAGCCGGCCACCCAGGCAGGGCTGCACAGGCTGGGTTAGAGAGAGGCAGGGAGCCCTAGGCTGAGCGTGAAGACGTGTCCTCAACTCAGGTTCTCTGGAGTGTGTATGTGTGTGAGATACAGACGCACATGGGAATAGCTTAGCTCGGCCGTTATAGAGCATCAAAGAAAAATTAGGAAGAAATCACTTCTTTGAAGCCCTAAGTGACATAAGGAAGTTTCCAGGTCTAAACCATGATCCCTAAAGGCAGGCACTGTCTACAGCATGGATTTGGAAAACATTCTGACCCCCATTCCAGCACATGCAGACACGCATGCATTTACTCAGCAGCCAGCAAGCACCTTTGAAGTACAGTGTGCTACACCAGGCCCGGGGAACAGAACCACTTAGACTTCCAGGTTACTGAAGGATACAGATAGGTAAACTCTCAAGGACAACGAGGAGACACAGCAAGACCAGTCGTTTCTGCCCCAAACACACCTCCAACCCAACCCCTCCACAGCCACCACCCTAATTCAGGCCACTATCATCTCCCAAGATGCAGCAAGAGGCCCCTAACTGGACAGTTAACTTCCACAGGACCACCAGACTCATGCCATTCTTCTGCTTAGACCCTTCCCATGTGTTACTGACTAAATTATGCCTCTCCAAAGTCATATGTTAAAGCCCTAATTCCCCAATGTGACAGTATCTGGAGATATACCCTCTAAGGAGGTAATTAAGGTTAAATGAGGTCATCAGGGTGGGGCCCTAATCCAATATGAGCGGCATCTTTATAAGAAAGGAAGAGACACCGGAGATTTCCCTCCGCGCATACACAGAAAAAGGGCCACGTGAGAACACAGCAACATGGCAGCCATCCACAAGCCAAAGACAGAGGCCTCTCCAGAAACCAACCCAGCTGGCACCTCAATCTTGGACCCCCAGTCGCCAGAACTGTGAGAAAATAAACATCTGTTGTTTAAGCCACCCAGTCTGTGGTACTTTGCTATGGCAGCCCAAGCAGACTAATCCATATGGATTAGCACTAATCCACTGGGAATTCCCACAGTACTTT